GGCTGCGGCCCGCTCGACGCACTCTATGCATTCTCGCGGCCTGGGCCTCTCTTCCCACATGGACCCAGAATGCAAGTCGCGCGGCTTCTCCTCACCACACCGCGTGCACTTCTTCCGTTCTGCTTCTCTCTCCCGCCGCTTCACCTCTTTCCTCTCCTCCCTCTTACACTTGTCGCACACGCGCTCCTCGTCGTCCACATCGCGCTTCGCGAAGTGGGTGGCGATCTTGCTCTCCTTGCAGCGACCGCAAACGAGGTGCTTCTTCAGTTCTTCACACTCTGCGCACATTCCTCCTCTGCCTCGGCTGTTCCCTGCAAGGTCCCACTGGTGCGGCGCGAACGCTTCTTCGTACTTCCGAAACTCGCACACGCGGCAACTCCGTCTCTCGGGGCAGTCCACGCAGCGCCGCGTGGTCAACTTCGACGGGTGGTGCTGCGAAGCGGGGAACGCCTCCAGGCATTTCCAAAGAGAACACTCCATGCATTGCCACGGGGTGCCCAACTTCTTCTTGTCTTCCAGGCACGCGCTGCACACGCGCAGCCCGTCTGCGCGGCTCCATTGCCCCACCGTCGGGTACATGTTCTTGTACTTCGTGCAGCCGCAAACCGCGCACCTTCCGGACGGCATGAACTCCTTCTCTATCGCCTCCCAGTCCAAGACTTCCCCGCGCAGCGCGCGCAGCAGCAATGCCGGGCCCCTCCGTTCGTCCTTCCTCTGATACGGCGCAATGTCGAAAGGGCGAAAGATAAGCATGTCCTCACGGCGCTGTGCCCTCGTCAGTGCCACGTAGCTCGACAAAGGGGACGTGCCCCCGCCGATGCTCAGGTCCACTATGACACCTTGCTTAAAAGTTTGCCCCTGCGCCGCATGGGCCGCCACCCCGAAGGCCGGAGCAAGCGGGAACTGCCGTCTTTTGACTTTCAGTCGCGGGCGCGGCCGACCTTTGTCCACAAACCACTCCTTCTTTTGCGGAACCACCGGATACAAGCCCGGCGTCTTTAATCCCTCGATCGTCCACTCGCACGGCTTCCGTCCGCCCTTTCCGTCGTCGCCTTCGTCGAACAATACAAAAATCACTTTCGGTGTTTTTTTCAGAATGGTCTCCCCCCCGCGTGTGACCCGATCGCGCTCTCCGTCCCCGTCGCAAACCCAAGACTGAACGCGGCCGACGCGTCCGCGCAGGAGGTTCTTGTCCTCGCTACGATCTATGTGATCTGTCAGAGCAACTGGCATGCCTTCTGCAATGGGCAGGAAGCCGTACAAGTCTCCACTCTCCTTGTCGTGTCGTTGGAGCCATGCCATCTTCTGCTGCGGCAGATCTGGTCGCTCGCGGAGCGCCTCCGGTGTTGGCGCATCCCGCGCAGGGACGTACACCATCGGCTTCCCGTGCCTGCGCGCGTACTGTGACGCTCGTAGCTTGTTGGCCTCATATTTGACGTCGTTGTTCGGGAACACTCCTGGCGCGGTGAGGAATTTCTCCGACTGCAGACGCGGGTCGTCTGGGCCATTCACCACCAGACGGCGCCGCGAACGTTCCGCTCTGCACACCTGACACTCCTGTTGGCGGATCTCCTTCGACGTTACCTTGCGTCTTCGACGTTGACCCGCTGCACCCGCCGCTTGATCCGTTGCGCCATCGCACAACTCCCGGCATGCCCGATTCCGGCAACCCACGTCTCCGTGCAGCCAGCTCCCCGTAACGGTGGTGTCCCTGCCGTGCAGGAACGCGTGCGCGTTCGCCGACAGCGCCCCTGTACGGAATTCTTCCTGCACCTCCTTCAACCAGGCGTCGTCGCACCTCTCGCACTCCACCAGCTCGGTCACGCCCTGCACCCCGCACTCCGGTCCACCCCACAGCAGAGATTGGCCATGGAGCACAGGGGCAGGGATGTGTACTTGCGCGCCGCCGAGATGCGCTCGGTGGGGGCGTCCGCCAAGAAACCTCCGTCGGGGGGTGCGAGTTGCCAGAAGTCACCACTCAGCACGACGTTCAAACCGCCGAACGGGCGCGGCACGCCTGCGTCTCCGCGCTTCGTCGTGCCCACATCCCGGATCACCCCGCGCAGTTTCGCGTCTACTTCTGCCAAGAGTCTGGCGCTCACCATGCTGATCTCGTCGATGAACAACCACCTCCACTGGAGTACGCGCTTGGCAGTCTCGTACTCCAGCTTCACATCCTCCCCTTGCTCGGCTCCCCGCTTAATAGCTGGTATGCCGCATGCATGGTGGATGGTGTCCCCTCCTAGCAGCTGCGCCATGACGGCTTGCAGGGCGGTGATTTGGAAGTTCACCCCGATCGTCCACTTCATCAATCCCTCGAACAGTTCGTGGCGAAGAATGCGCAAGACGTGTGATTTTCCCGTCCCAGGGCCCCCGTGCATGCACCACTGCAGGGGCTCCCCCATGGCCGCCTCATCCATTCCCTCGCCATCGATCTCCTGCATTACCCGACGCGCCACCTGCTTCACCATTTCGAACTGCTTCGCGTTCACAACGCGCCGCCCCGTGTCTTTGTTCACCCGGAACTCGAGGTCCGCGAGCCACCTGGCCACGTCAGCCGAAGTGGCGGCCGCGCCCGCGACAACGACCCCTCCAGCCGCGTCCGTCATCCTGTCGGCCATAGAACTTTCTTTGTTTCGAGACTTCCGCGCTTCCCGGAGAACCAGGTCCAAGTCACAGGCCTGCTCTGCCGGCCAAGCGCCTGCTACTTCGCTGAGCGGCGTTTCGCCGTCCCGGAGCCCCCACGCCTGCTGCGCCACAGCCATGCCCCATTTCGAGTTGTCGTAATGAGATGTGCCTCCTGCTCCGTCGTCTGCACTCTCCTCCTCGCTGGTGTTGTCCCGGTCCCCGTCTTTCCGTCGCTTCCCCCCCACGCGCGACTTCAGCGCCTCGTCGAGCTGATCGAAGCCCACGTCTAATTCCACGTCGCTCACGTCTTCGTCGCTCCGTTCCTCCGCTTCGCCAGCATCCCGCGGCCGGACGCGGTGCACACTCAGAAAGTTCCCCACGTACCGCGCGGCCTCCTTCGTCTGCACTCCGCCGTCGAGCCACTCAACCATGGCTGCGTCCCACGTCGGTGCTTCGCCACGCAGGTTCCCTGCGAAAACTACGTGTTGGTCCGCCACGTCGGGCCTCAGGGTCCACGGGTGGAAATACGTCATGACGATGCGCGCCGACCGCTCCGCTTCCCCTGGACGCCCGCGCGGCACGGGCGCTCCGAAAAAAGTCGGTGCCATGGGCCTCCTATTCCGCCGGAGAATCCACGTGTGGCGAAGGTGGGCGCACCCTTCGGTGTCCGGATAAGGAACCCAATCGTCACCTCCGTCTTCCTTCACCGTGTAGTCCACCCCGGGCACCAAGTCCTCCTCCAGACTCGCGTTCCCTCGCCCTTGACGCAGTTTGTCCTTGCCCTGCTGCGTCAAGACTGCGTGATGGCGCGGATTCTCCGCATCTGCGATTCTCGTCGGGAAGGACAGTAACACCGGCGTCCAGTACGTTGCGAACTCATACGGAGATAGGTCCCACAGGCCGGAACTCTTCGGACGCAGCCCATACAACATGCCCACATCTCGAACAGTCACCTTTCGGCGTCTCTTCTGCCGCATGTCAACTTCGGCAAACTGAACTTTGCGACCCCCAGACGCGCGGTCTGCCAAGCGCTCGACCAAATCCACGTACTCGCGCCCGTAAAACGCTGCCGTCTCACAGGACTTCATTGCCTCCGCCGCAGTCACGTCGCCCTCTCGCGCGAATGCCCTCAGGTTTGCACATTCGACTTGGCCGCGCACGATGCCCTTGCCATAAGCGTCGCTCATGATTCGGTTCGCTACCCTCTTACCGATCCGATTCACGCTCTCGCCCTGCAGCTCCCTGCCGAGCTTCTCGACTCCTTTGCAACACTCTCTCACCTCGTGGAAAGCCATGGGCTGACGCTTCGTACAGTAGTCGCAGGCGTATCCTGCCTGCGCGTCCTGCGCCAGCTGTGCGACCCTGATGATCGCCGCATCGTCGAGCTTCTTGTCGCATCCCTTCTTGCACGTGCAACAGCCTGCCGTAATTGGAAATCGATACGGAAGCTGCACGTCCGAATTGAACCGCTGCGCGGACAACATGCACGGATGCGTGCCGTTCAGGTTCGCGTGATTCATCGGCCCGTGCAGGCTGCCAGTCCGATTCCGTCGCCCTGCCTTCGGCATGTCCAACGCCACCGCCTGCCCTGGACACACGACGATGGCGCGGTCGATGATCTGCGCCGTGCGCGGGAAATCCGCTTTACACAACTTCGGGTTGTCCTTCCGGCGGCACGCCGGCAGTGGTACTCGTTCCCCGGTCTCCTCATTTTTCAGGTGGACGTGGTTCTGCTTCCTCTCTTGCAAGTACTGTACGTCCGCGTTCAGGTATTCTCTCTCCCATGCCACAGCGTCGTTCTGAGCCTCCGTCGGCGATGCTTTCGCATGGAGAGTGCGCGTTTGAAACGCGGGCCTGCCAATGAGCCCCCCTTCGTCTTTGAACTCCGGCCACGACTTCTCCGCCGCCTCCAGCCTCCGTTCGATGTCCTCCGCCGACACTTCCTGCGAATAAACCTGCCGACAGACGCGCTTCTTGTATTCCAAATACCCGTCCACGATCTTCCTCCCCCGGTCCTGCACGTCTGCACGGATGATTTCGAACACCTCTGCGAGCGGCGTGTGCTGGTGCAGGCACTGGATGAAAATCTGGCAGTGAGCGTGCAGAGATCCCGTGGATTTCTGCGCTTCTATCGACACGTAGTATGCATCCACGCGCCCGAACGCGCCCCCGCCTGGCATTGCGTTGCTACCGAACAGGTCTTGGCACGGCATCCCGCCCTCGGCGCGATTGCACCGCGGGCAGTTCGGGCAAGTCCGCAACCCGAACAAATGGCGGAGAGTCGCGTCCACGAGGATGCGGAAGCCGTCAACGCTGGCCATGGGATCTCGCGCGAGGACTCGTCTACGCTCGGCCCACGTCGGCAGCCCAACCTGTGCTGCATCCATTGGAAGATCCAGGCGCGTCTCGTCTACGTCGGGGGCTACGCGCGGCCACTCCCGATCTCCCGCCCGCCGCGACTGCGCTTCATGATCAGCTGCCTTGTGCACAGGGTCCTGCCGCCGCGTGCGCGACAGGCGGACCATGAGCAGATTGTGCCCTTCGTCGGGCGAGAACGTTACAAAGATTGGAACGCCATACCGGACTCGCAGAGCGTTCGTCTCGAACCTCATCACGCGCCGGGATTCCTGTGTACCTGAGAGGCGCCGCGACGTGTGCTCGATGTGGGTGAGAAGCTTGTGGGCGGCTTTCCCCAGACTTGGCGCGTGCCGCACTTTCGTCATGTCGCCCTTGACCTTCTGTTTCCTGCCGTTGATGTCCACGTACTTCCCGTCTAGCGCGAGATAAATCTGCTTCGCTCCTTCGGCGATCTCCTCGGGCGTCAGCTGCTCCACCTCTCCGGCGGCGTTCGGTGACACGTACGTGAACCACGTCTTGCTCAGGTTCACCGCCGAACGAAACACGAGGTTCCACGACACGAACCCGAAATGCCAATCACGACACAGCTGGCTCTCGACGCGACGACTCATAATCCGCACCCACAGTGGTAGCTCCACACGCGGAGCCCCTCCACCCCGGCGATGACGCGGACGCTTCATGAATTCTGGGCAATCTGGCATGCCCGTGCAGTACTTGAACAAAAATGCGAACGCGACGCCGAAGTACCAGGGCTCGAACTGATCCATCATCACGTTCCCCGTGCGCACGCGGAGGCGGTCCACGCGCTTCTTCTCTGTCATCGCCTGCTCCAGCATGCCGCGCTCCACCGCCTCCCGCGACGACTCCACCGCCCCAGGGCCCGCCTCTTCGCGGACGCAGACGCGCTTACGTGCCCGTTCCGGTTGCCCGTGGCCGCTCTCCTCCCCGCCCGAACTCGACGTCTCATCTGCTCCGCCATGCACGCACTCCTCATCCAGCCTTTGTACGAAGGTTCGCACGGCCTCGATCCTTTGCGCATTAATGTCCATCTCATCGAAGCTGCTCTTCTCGCAGACCACCGCGTTCGTCTTCGTGCTCTCCATTATATCTGCCGCTTCCTTGACTCCGTCGGGCCTCGGAACGGGCGTCGCTGCCTTCTGCATCTGGATCTTGTCGAGCGCATCGTCCAGGGGCACCAGGCGCATGATCTCCTCGGGCACGCCTTCCTCCGGGAGTGCCAGGGCCCTCTTCCGAACATCTTCCATGTCCACATTTCGGTACGCACGATGTCCGCGCGCTTTCGCTCCCTGAATCAGGTCCACGACCACCTTCCTACGCACGAGAGCCTGGTGCACAAACTTGGCCATGCTTGCAGCCGTATCGTCGTCACCGCCCGACTTGAGTATCACGGACACGATTCCTGCAAGCTCCGCCCCTGAGCGTGGCAGTGCTGGCGCTCGCCCCTCGGCGGCCGTCTCCTCCGCGGCGGTTAACTGCGCTAGCAAGTCCGTCCACGGCATCGGGAAAGAAGTCGCGTTCCCGCGCGCCGCCATGCGGACTTCGTTGCCGCCCGTCTCCATGTCGAAAGCCCGCTCCTTCCGATATCGTTTCTCCAGCGTGAAACACACCATCGACGTTATGCACACTGACGCGCAGATCATTTCCAGCACCGTCACCTTGCAGCCGAACAGCTCCTCCGGCGAATAAAATGCCATCATGTCATTGGACAGCGCCGCAGGAGGGAGCGCCGGTTCGCCGCGGGCGCCAACCATTGCGTTCCCGCACTCGCCGCACAACGGGGCCTCGCAACAGCTGCACGCGGTGTTCCCAGAGTGCGATGTGGCGCTGTCGCACCGCATGTCCTCCGGACAACAGAGAACCTCCATTGGCCCGTCTTCTGATGGCACGCGCACGCGCCAATCCTCGAACTCCTCCATCCGGTCCCGCAGATGCACGCCACTGCTCTCCTTCCCGGCGCCATCTACTTCGCCATACCGCTCCACGTACGCGTCCACCGTCATGTTCTCCCGCACGAACGCGTCCGGAAGCCCGAAAAATCCGCTTCCGCTTGGCGCGACCGCGCGCCATTCAATCGGGTTCCCTCTGCGGCCCTCCACGCGGGGAAACTTTCGCGCGCACACCATGCACACGAGAGAGTGGACGGCGTCTTCCCGCAAACTGCGCGCGTACTCGCGTAGGCATCGACGATCGATCGCCAGTGCTGCGAGAGGCGCCCCCTCGCGCACTTTCCAAGCGATCGCTTCGTTGTACGCTGACCAGCACTGTGTTTCACTCCGCCTGGCCTCGTCTTTCTCGTGGCATGCAAGCGTTTCCGCGACATCCCGCAACGTCTCGCGATGTTCGGCTATGACATGCGCGCGGAGCTCCGCTTCGCTGGAACCCCGCCACCCGCAATTTCCAAAAGCGCAATGATCATGCGGCAGCTCCACGGCACCGCAGGAGAAGATGGACTCGCCTTCCAGCGTTGCTCCGTGCACAGAGGCCGCTGGCACGGTGGGGTGCTCTTTCATGAGACCTGCCGCTTTCTTGAGCCCTTCCTCCCTTCCTCCCCGGCTTACGTCCGCGGACACGTGGCCGTTGTCGACTGCGCGGACGCGGTACACGTGCGCCGCGCCCGACCTCTCGGCTGTGTCGGCGTTCACGGCTCGGCTTTCGCTCATCTCCGCGCCGCTCTGACCCGCCTGCCCACCCGTGCCGCCCACCGACGTACTCGGGGCCCGCGCAGACGTCAACTCGGGCACCGCCTTCGGGTGCCCCGCCACATCGGGCGAGACTCCTCTATCCGCCTTGCGCGCACCTTCCCGGCGCTGCACCGGGTGTGGAGGCGGCGGTGGAGGGAGTGTCTCGTCGGACGCCTCTACGCGGCCGACGCTTGTCGGACCCGACGGCGACACGTCGGCGACCGCAGAATCCGGGCCAACCGGAGTGCTCTTCCCTGTGACACGGGCCCGTTTCGCCGCCGTCCCCGTTCTGGCGGCCTTGTCGTCCACCACGTCTCTCCCGCTTCCTTCTTCGGCCGCGTGCCCCTCCTGTCGCCGTGCATTTTTCCGCGCGTCCTCCTCGGCGCGCGCCCGCACTGGTCTGTACCAGGTGCTGCGGATGTTCACCCCTGTCGCGTTGTACACTGCGAGTACGACGTCTCCGTTCGCCTTTGACACATCTTCTCCGCTCGGCCAGTGGCCTAGCACGGGCCTCTCCCCCTGCAGCTCCGCTCGGGAGAACTTCATGTCCACGCCCCCCCGCGACCCCACCTGACCGTCAAAGCGAGAGTAAACGCGAATGATGATCGTCTCTGGCAGAACTGCCTCTTGTATGCCATGATTCGTCAGTGCGAACCTCACGATCTCGCCTGCGTGGACTGCGTGTCGGAGCTCCCCATCGTGAGTACTAGGGTGCAGCCAGGCATCTCCGACGTTCTGCAGGTGAGACACGCACGCAGCACACGCGCCGCGACGGCCCTCGTGGGACGCCACCGCCTGCCCGCACCACCCCACCTCAACTAAGAGCTGGAACAAACTGTCGGGTAGGCTCGCGCCAGACCCGTGCCCTAGGGCTTCACCGACCACCAGGCCCCCGCGTGCCATGTTCGCAGCGCGTTCTTCGTCCGTCTCAGCCTCCAACACCAACGCCCCCGTGAGGAACTCCATAAATCTCACCGCGTGATCTTCAACAATGAGGCATTTGTCCTCTGCGTCGGGGGCCCCGGCCAGCGCGTCCCATGCGCGTCCCCAGCCTGACCATCCCTGCACCCAAGTCTCCTGCATGACTCGCCCGAGGGCCTCCGCTCCGCCCCACGCTTTCCAGAGATGCGCGCACAGCTCCCCGGGCACGAACTCCATGCCGGGCACGTCCCACGCTTCCGGCGCCGAAGTCGGCTCCCGGAAAAGACGCAGAGCGCGGAAATCAGCCTCCCGGATGACCCGGACTGGCGCGAGTAGGTCACGGGGGATGATGTGGACAGCCGGAGCGCCCCCCCTCCGGGCGCCGACGGCCTGCATGACCACCCTATCAGGCTGGCCCACCACACCTGGGCCACTCGCGGCCTCCGAGCTGCCACTGTGCATCGCCACACCCCCGCCGCTCGCACTGCCCCTCTGCCGCCCACTCGCCGCGACTCCTTCAAATCCTAACCGCGGCGTGGATGCCGGCACTCTTTCAGCCTCCGTTTCGGCTCGCGCTTTTTTTGCCGTTCCTCCGCTATCGGTGCTCGGCATCTCCATTCCCTCGGGCAATGTCTCAGAGTTGTTCTCCACGATGTCATATTCATCAGGCAATTCTCTCTGAAGTCCCACTCCCTCCGAACTCTCACGCGGAGTCGGCGGAACCGGCGACGGCGGCACAGCTCTCGACAAGCATTCCAAACGCTCGTAATGTCCTCGCACAGCGCTCCTCCCCAGATCAGCGTTTATACCGATAAGAGTGATGTTCGCCGAGTCGCCGGCAGGCAAGACATACTTGTGCAGCTGAAAGGATGGGCGACGAAGCCCGCGCTCCTCCCAAACCTCCCGCACTATTACCGCGTTCCTACCTGCACACTTGCACAACAACATCAGCTCTAAATCACTCAAATAATACCCATCCGAGCATAAGGCCTCCAAATAACAGGGGTACACAAGAGTGAAGAAGTCCTCGAATGGCTCTTGCACCAAGACAGACTCCCCGGCGTCGACGACGGGCGCGTGCACGCGGGCCTCCTTCACTAACTCTACAAAGTCACCAACTCCAGCGCCGAATGCTCTGTCTACGTTCGGGTCCTGCAGATCGGCCACCGTGTTATTTACGTGCGCAAGAAAAGCGTCCACGTTGTTCATCCCGCAGTACTCCACGATGCCGCGGCGGTAATGCTGCCCGAGCTCTGTGTCTGTGCCAGCGACGTCGATCTTCCATTGCCCGTCCTCGCCTATGCATTCGTAGTCGTCAAGAATGCCCATGTGAGTCAGCAGCGGGCGCAAAAAAACATCTTTCATGTCGTTCCGGCATAAATTTCTCAGCGCACTTGCAACTTCGCGGCGCTTCTGCTCGAAGACCGACAACGCTTCACTCTCTTGCTTCACGGCGCACACGCAGGCATTCATGACACGGCGCTTCCCCTTTATTTTCGCCCACAATCTCTTTTCTTCCGCCAGCATGCCCAGATTCCGATCGTTCAGACCAGCATGCTGTTCCGCCTGCGGCTTGATCACATGCTTCCACGCCGAGTTCATCAGCTCTTCAAGCGCTCGAGCATTGCGGCACTTTCGGCGCACTTCTTCTGCAGTCTCGCCGAGCGTCCGTCGCAAGCAACCCCTCGCATCGGCGTGCCAGAGGCCATCTGGGCTGGCCGTGCCGAACAACGCATTAATTCCACAAGCGCCGCCCTGGCCGCTGGTGAGCATCTTTCGATACCGACGGTTTACGAGTGCCCGAACACTCTCGGAAAAGCAACCGTCACCCATGACGACAGGGCAACCGTCATGCTGCAGCCCGGTACTCGCGCTCGCGCTATTGCTTGCCGCCGGCGCCCCATTCTTGCCGCCGCGACTGGCGCCAGCCGCGGAACGTCGCCACGGGGCCCGCACAGGATCACCTTCCATCCCGCTCAGTACGCCGCGCCCATGAGCGACGCGAACTACATGTCCTTCGGCCAGCCAAACGGCAGACCCGACGCAGCGGCCATCCGCATCACCAAGTCGCCACCTCCAACGGGCTCCCTCCTCCAAAAGATCCGCGACTTTTTCTGCCTCGTAGACCCACGCGAAAGCCTTCTGCTGACACAGCCACCGCTGGACCGCGTCCACGTTCTGTTTTGGTACGGGGCCCACCCCGCCCGCACCCGACAATGCATTGTTGGGGCACTCTCTCGAAAAGAATCGCAATGCTTCTCGACGCCAACGACCGCGCTGCATACGCGCTACGGCAGCTTGCAAGCACTTGTTTTCCCAGGGCCCCACGGTTGCTTCGTCTGCCGCGAGGGTCGCCACAGAGGTCTTCGGCGCGCAAGTCACGTACGCCGTCCACGCGACAGCAACCCGTAGCATTCCATCACCAAGTGTCTCGACGGGCACGCCACCGCTCCTTGCGCACATCGCGAGGCCCTCGCTCCACTCGTTGCCGCCCCGACCCTGGTCGAGCACCTTCCGGTTCACACCAATCCCCGGCGAACGACGCACGCGAGGTCTGCGGGCGCTCCCCACGCGGCGCGCTTCGCGGCCCGACACTCGTGCCGCGATACGCCACAACCCACGCGGATTCGAAGCATGCCCGAGTCCAACGAAAAGGATTGCGCGCAGCACGTCAAAGAACGAAGCGCCCACGACGTCGTCCGTCTGCCTTTCGGAGGCACTGCTCCCGCTCGGGGCTCTCACCACAGTCGTGCACCTGTATCGCGTCCGAGCAACGCACGTCCGCGCTGCTGGGCTCTGGCGGCCACAGGCCCTTCCTTTTCCCCGTCTTCCTCCTCCTCCTCCCCCTCCTCCTCCTCCTCCTCCTCCGTCTCCCTTCACAACGCCCGCTACGTGGCCGACTATGCGTATTCTCCGAGCCCGCCACGATCGCCTTCGACGATCGCGTTTCGCGGATGCCTTGCCCGCGCCTCGCAGACGCCACGCACGACCCTCCTCGGAGCTTCGCAGTACCCCCGTTTCTGGCGCTGAAAATCGAGCCATTCTTCGCACCGATTCGTGTCCCTCGCGCCACGCGCTGGCTGGACCACACCTCGCGCTGGCTGGGCCACACGTACCGAGACTCAGCGAGCATTTCCCCCTTCCATCGGTCACGCGACGCGGCTGCGAAGCAAAACGTGCTAGTCTTTGGTGTCCATCGCTCAAAAGGCGCGTCTGGGCAGAAATTTGCCGTCGCTCTCCCGTCCTGTCTTCTAGAGGACGCGCCAAAGAGAAAGTTCGCGATAGCTTCCCCCGTTTATCGTGTGGAGAAAACGCCTTTGGCCAATTCCTCGGGAGTTTTTTTCATTCTGCCGTTCAGTGGACGCGTTTCTGAACCGAGTCGCGATAGTTTCCAGCTTCTATGACTCAGAGGACGAACCTGGGAATCAAATCGCGATCGTCTGCCCCTTCCATCGTCTAGAAGACGCGCCTTCGGACAAATTCGCGATTGCCCCCCCCGTCTATCGTCGAGAGGACGAACCTGGACAAACAAACGCGATAGTTTTCCCGATCTACCCGTCGGAGAAAGACAGCGGCATCTTCCAGAAAACAGCCCTCCGTCACCTATCTCTCCGGCACCTCCACACACTCGCGATAGTTTCCCTCGTATACCGTTCACACGAGACGTTCTGGCACCAATACACCAGGGCCTGCCTCCGCAAAATTGCGATAGTTCCCCCATTTCAGCCCGCCCATTGCGAGAGCTGGTCACTCGGGCCCACCACGCAGCAGAACAGTTCGGTCGTGGATTTATGCAGCGACGCGGCGGAGCCCCGGAAGACCCCGCCACGACGCACCCCTCTCGGGGCACCGGTCTGACACCGGCTGACCCGAAGGCCCATGCAGGAACGCGGGTGTGCCATTGCTGACACACGCCACGAACCACCCCGTTTCCGGGGGACCGGCTTATGGACACGGGCGCTCCCGCGGTTGTTTGTGGCACAACCGGAAAAACCCGCGGTTGGTTATGGCCCAACCGGAAAAGCCCGCGGTTGCTTCTGGCGCAACCGGAAAAGCCCGCGGTTGGTCGAGGCCCAACCGGAAAAGCCTGCATGGCCACGCCCTGCGCCCAGCGGCCCCCCGGGGAGGGCCCGGGGCGAGGGAGTCCCTTGTAGCGCTCAAGGCTACTTGAGCCTGCGGCGCGGCGACCGGCCGTTGCTGGGCCCCCCGCCCCTGTCCTGTCGTCGCTGTCGTCGTCGTTCTCCTCGTCCTCTTCCTGCCCTCCCTCCTCCTCCTCGTCTTCCTCCTCCTTCTCCTCCTCCTCATCTTGCTCACCGTCTCATACCTGTTGCTCCTCAACGTGTTCTTTCTGATCGTCGTCATCGTCCTCATCCCTCTCTCCCCTCCTTGTACCTCCTCCTGTGGTTGCTCAGCGCTCCCACCTCCTGCAACCTCCTCCATCCCTCTCCTGCCTCATCCCACAACCTCCTACATCCTCCAACCTCCTCCTACCTACTTCTGCTCGCCTCTTATCTCTTCGTACATCCTCCTACCTTGGCTCGCACTGCGCCCTTCTCCTCGTTACTCCATCATCCTCCTCCTCGCCTTCATTACACTCCTCGTCGTCTTCATCCTCCTTTTCGAGTTTGTCCTCGTCCATTGCCTCCTACTCCTCCGCACCCTGCTGATGTTCTGGTTCCTCCTTCTACTCCTCCCGCTCCCCCTGACCCCTCTTGCACGTCCTCGTCGTACTCCTCCTCATTCTTCTGATGCCTCCAAGGGCTCCCCGGGGCCGCCTGGAGCGTCTTGGGAGCTCCTGGGGCTGGTTGGAACGTCTTGGGGACGTCAGTCGTTCTCAAAATTGCGATTGGCTCGCACTCAAACTTGCAGACTGTGGGAATGTCTCGAGCGAGCGGTTCGCCCTGACACACGGGTGCTCATTGACATCTTCCCATAAAACACGTGCCCATATAATGATATGCACATACGGGGGCCCCTGCGTCGAGTAATTGTTTTCGTCGCCCTCCCGGGCTGCACCCCTGCTTCTATTCGGACCCCCTCATCGTGCCTGTTGCTCCTCATCGTGCTCCTTCTGATCGTCGTCATCGTCCTCATCCTCCTGTCCCCTCCTTGTACGTCCTAGGGCTCCTTACCGATACCACCCTCTGCATTCTCATCCATCCGTCTGCTGCCTCATCCCACCGCTTCCTACCTCCTCCAAGCCCCTCCTAACAACTCCACCCTCCTCCTACCTCCTCCTGCTCGCCCCCTATCTCTTCGTACCTCCTCCTACCTTCCCCTACCGCCTCCTACCTCCTACCTTCTACCTCATCCTTCCTCCTCTTCCCTCTTCCTACGTTTCCATACCTCCTCCTCTTTCCTCCCACCCCCTGCCTCTTCCATCATCCTCAGGCTAGGCTGTGAAGCTGGAAAGATCTTGAACCTCTTCAATATGGCTACCATCAGATCGGCTGACAGTTTCGGTTGTAAACCGAATGTAAATTTGAAACATCTTGAAATTCCGATCGATACGATACGATACGATACAACCCAGAAGCTGCTTCCAAGACGCACCCGAAAGGCCTCCCACGAGATCCCACCAACCATGTGAGTGGTCACTCACCTACAACCCAGGCGCGGTGGCAAACTCGCCGAAGGCCACCAGATCAGCCAACATAAGCACGGGAATACTGCAAATGCGGTGCCGCCACACGGTGACGGACGGCGGCAAGGCTGATATTACTGGGCGGAGGGAGGGAAGGGGGGGAGGGAGAAGCGAAGAACGAGGAAGGGGCGAGGTAGGAGGGAGGAGTGGCGAGGAGGGAGGGAGGGGGGAGGCATGGAGGGAGAAAGGCAGGGGCAGGGATGAGGTTGCAGGGAGGGAAGGGGGGGAGGAGGAGGAGGGATGAGGGAAGAGGAGCAGAGACGAGTAGGAACAGGAAGCGCAACGCGCGCGCGTAAGCGTAGCAGGCTTTTCAGGCACTCCGGGGAGAGCCACAAGCCCATGGGCGCCGAACTGCGCTTAAAAAGTACGCTGCGAAGGCCACGTGGGGCACCCACCACAGCTCGTGTCGGGCGGAGCGCAAGACGACGACGACGACGACGACGACGAGGAGGACGACGACGACGACGACGACGACGACGACGACGACGACTCCCCCCCTCTCCTCCTCCCTCGTCCCTCCACCCTCGCCCCTCCTCCCTCCTCCCTCGTCCCTCAACCCTCCGCCTCTTCCTCCCCCCTCCATCCTCCCTCGTCGGCCGAGTCCTCGGGGGCAGCGGCCAGCAATGAAGCCTGCGAGAGAAGACCTGGGGCAGAACAACACACTTCTTCAAGCCCCAGCCCGATCGAATCGCGAGATCGGATCGGACCGGAGACGGATCGGATCGCGCCCGAACCGGCGCGGAATCGGATCGGGATCGGATCGCTAGGGATCGCGGATGGGCCTCGCCCACTGCAGGCTGGAGAAGGACTCGGTTCGTGCTGGATCGGATCGGATCGAGATCGGAATCGAAGTTTGGGGATCGGACCGGATCAAATCGAATCGCGAGCAGCCCGGGCCCCTGCGCGGCGGCGTGCATGGGAGAGCGACTGGCAAGGGTCACTAACGGCGCATCGCCGGGCAGTCCCCACTCACACCGCGCTCCTCTTCGGGCAGGCAATCCTACATCCATACCTCTGTCCACCGTGCAACGTGCGCCCCTGCGAAGAAGGGCAAGAGGGCGGCTCCAGTGTGCGAGGGGCCTGGGCGGCCGGTGCCTCGGCGCGGCCGCTGGGCCGGGGAGCAACGGTGCGAGGGTCACTAACGGCGCACCGCCGGGCAGTCCCCACTCGCACCGCGCCCCCCGTTGGGTAGTCAATCCCACGTCTGTACTTCCGCCCACCATGCATCGTGCTCCACGGCGATGACCTGGTAGAAGCAGCACAAGAGGATGACCTTCGTCCCCGGGGCCCCCGCCATGGACGCGTCGAACGGAGCCCCGACGTTGGCCTGCTGTCGCAGTGCGCTGTCGAGCAACTCTTCCCTCTCAAGCAGGAGGTGCCCGCAACCGGCAACAAACAGGAGGTCCAGCGAGCCGTTCATCAGGACGTCTGCGGTGGAGGTGGCCAGGTGCAGGCCCTCGGTGAGAAGCCACATCACCAGATAACCCTGACTGCAGATGGTCGCCAGGTGGAGCGGATCGCTGATGTCTCTGCGGGCAGCCGAGCCCAGCGGAGAAGCCTCGGCCAACGAGGTCACCGCCTGAGGGCCAAAGAATACTCCAAGAGGGCCCCCCAAAAAATGTTGCGACATTGGCCGGGGGCTCTCCGAATAAATACACTCCAAGAAGGGCCCAGAAAAGTAATGCGAAATGGACCGGGGGGGCAATAAAAGCCCAAGAATCCTCCAAGGCGGCCCAAAAAAACTATTGCGACATGGACCGGGGGCTCTCTGGATAAACTCCAAGACGGGCCCGGACAAGTAATGCGAACTTGACCAGGGGGGGGGAAGAGGGCCAAAGAATGCTCCAAGAGGGCCCGAGAAAGTCTT